CCAAGCCCAGACACGTCCAGCGTCCCCAAAGAAGCGAATGAGTTCATGTTTAGTGTCCCAAAGTCTACTGGTGCCTCCGAAGGTGCGGCCCCATACTTGTCCCATTCATACTCGAGACCGACTTGATTGGCAGCAGCGGTGCTACAGTCGCTGGTCGACCTGTCCAGCGTGGGTGCAGCGTTATAATCCCGATCAGCTCCCGGAGCGGTCGGCTCAATCTGGTAGCTGAACTCAATCGGCAGAGCTCTCATGACGCCCCAACGTTGTGCGAGAACGCGGATCACCGTGATGCTCTTTACCGCACGAACAGGCCAGGCGATTTGCAGTTCCCGCAGTAGCTCGAGGCATTGGCGGAGCCAGTACGTGCTTTGGTGGCGGAGGGCCGGGGTCCAGCTTGTGGCATTCATGAGGTGAACGATGGCTGCGCTGAGGAGATGGTGGATGATGACGGGGTTCGGTGGTGTCTCGAACCCATGAGCGCGGCGGTAGGTCCTGACGAGCCGTGAAGTCGCGGTTGCGGCTCCGGTGAGAGACCGCAGGACGAGGAGCATGAACTCTGAGTTCTGTCCACCGGTGGCTGTCGACGACGAGGATGAAGCCTGGGAGATGGTGGCGAATATGCGCAGGAAAGGAGGCATGGTGATGAGAATCGTCATCTGGTATGCCAGGTGGAACAAGATAACCGGCTTTGGTGTTGAATCGCCGGTCAGGTGAAGTCTGTTGTCACGGGACCGGAAGAAGGCGTTGAGGGCATCTTGGCTTGCGACTAAGATGCGGACTTGTTGAGGTATTGGAAGTGACTCGAACGTCGTTGAGAAACTAAGCGACTAATGTTAGGCAAGTTCTGTTTCCTTGGTTGAGAATGAGCCGACTTACACCTGGTCCATATACTGGTCATGGAGATACCATAGTTTGCACTGCCATGCAAAGGATACTTGAGCTAGATCCGCCGTAGAGCTCTCAAAGGTTGTATCAAAGTCAGGCACATTTACCCTCCGCCAGGGCAGAGCACAGTTGCGACCAAGGATAGATATAGCTGTGCGATCGATGATGTAAAACATCCAGAAAGTCCGGATATCTTGTTCGCTTGCCTCAAGCTGTCTTGCCTCGCATTCATCAAGAGCCATGACATGCAACCTCAGATGCACGCACATACCTGCAGCCATTGAGATGAAGATCCACCCAAAGTGATCTCTGCCTAGAGCTAGAGATCTCCAGGACATCATGGAGAGACCCTGGATAACCTTGACCGTGGGGGCTAATCGACAGCAGGTGAAGGCGAGGCTTTCGGCAAACTGGCCAAAGGTGTCGCCAATATTCATGGCATCCGGTCTGAGTGAAAAGGTCGTTCCTGTGGCGATGATGGCGCTGTGTAAGAATGCTTCGTCGGGGGCCTGGTAAGGGTACCTCTGGAGGAAGTCGATGTTCGTATACTGGGTGAACTGATGCTCTTTGTTGATGTTCTGTAAGAAAGTGTCGGCCATCTCGTGTATGAGACCTGGTTGTCGACAATACGCGAGAACATTTTCTGGCGGCACGAACTGTGCCGATGGAGGGGCTTCTTGAGCTGCCTCGAGGGCGTATTTGGATCCAGTGGTGGGGTCGTTGATGATGGTCACGCCATCGCCAACATTCGTCCTCCACAGCATCACACACAGCTCCTCCATGGCCCGTTGAGACCTCTCTTGACTTTGGGCATCCTTGCCTGTCGATGGGGTGTCGTTCAAATCACCCCGGAACTCTACTGTAGGGCCCTTGGTGGGGACAGCTTCAGCTAGCTCAGCTGCCTCGGCATCATCGAGGCCTTCATGGAGGGCATCGGACTCGGGTAGTATTTGTTCGCTCAATGATACTGGTGGTGATGTCTCCTTCTCCGAGCCGTCCTGTTGCTTTTCCAGAGCCAGCAAGAGGGACTGTACTTGGGCCTCGAGGGCTCTGACATAATCCTCGTCCCAGTACTTTCGTCTGTGAAGGTTGTGTCAGTGTGACGGCATCCTGGGTATCCCGTGCCGTCTGACTGCAGCACAGATGGCAACGTACTTCCTGGGCCTCTGTTCTGTGTAAACACATTCCCTATTCTGCCTGCTGCATAGCGAACATGCAGGACGGGCTGCATCGCACTGCCGACGGTATGTAGTTAGTCACGGCAGTTCGCGAAACTAACAAGGGACCTCGCCCCATGGGGTATAGGGAAAGGGGAAAGGGAGAGCACATTTAGGCAGATTGGTCTGGAAGGCGACCGATGGGGTGACCTACTTTTCGCTTCCCCGCCCTGCACCGGTCGCAAGCGAAGCTTGTTGGCTTCTGGGACATGGCTGGTCTTGGGAGAGGGAATCAAATCTTTTGCACACTGACACACACGCGAAAAGCAAGCACTGTAGGTTTATCCGGAAAACCCGCGTGCGAGTCGCTCGCCGTCCGAGGAGGACCGGTGAGAATGGCAGCGGCAGCTCGCTACTTTCGGCCAACGGGGGCCGCTCTTCATTTGCTGATCGGCGCCCTTCAGTTTACAGGGCGGTCAGACTCAGGGGCAGGACTCTGGGACGACGACTCGAACGGGGAGCTCGGGTTCATCGATATCTCGCCGCCACGCAAGCTTGACCTGACGTCGCCTGTCGCGAGATGTTATCGGGTGGTTGCGGGGTGGAGACCTCCGCAGGATAAGGTGCAATTAAGTAGGTGGATGAGCCATGTCAACCGTCGGGCGGTGGAGGTCGAGGTGAGGGGGATAGGAAAAGTTCAGATGTCTCAACGCGGGGGCTGACTGTCTTTGACGTGGTTGGTCGCTGCAGCTGACCTAACCAACGGAATGCGTGACGCCATGCCCTTTGTTTTCGGTCTAGAAGCTTGTCGGCTCCTTCTTCAGCCCTCTTCACCGAGCCTTTCAGCAAAGGAGGCCAGACGGCTTTGCCACGACCGAGAGAGCGTTGACAATGAGAGTCAGGGTGAGAGAGTCATGACTGTGGAGCCCGGCCTTTTTTAACCATTCCTTTTTCACATAGCGAATACAACAAAGAAAAGAGCTTGGGCCAATGAAACTCGACAAATTTGAGAGTTGTCGGAATCAAAATGATGTTTCCGATTGGCCCATTTGATTCCGGCGATTGCGTTGAGGGAGGCAATAATAGAGCCAGTTACCCAGCCTCGGCGCCTTCAACCGTCGACCTCAGCAATGAGTCTCAGCCTTGTGTTTCATAGATCGGAATTAAGAAGTTTTCTTGTTGAACAACACGCGAAAGAAAATTCGCCTGCGAACTTCTGAGCATTGCAGCTGTGGCTAAGTGTGAGATGCAGGCGGCCAGCGATAAATTCCTCGTCGAGATGAAATGGGATTCGGGTGATACCACTTGTGTAATGTTCAGTAATTATACGAGGCTTTGTGTGTAAGTCTATCGGACCAGGACATAAACACCGAGTGGAAATTTGCTCTAAATTAAGCGCCAGGGGCGGTCTTTGACCCAGTGGACTTGAAGAATTGCGGGTAGGCATCCCTCAACTCTCGCAAGTGACGAATTTGATGAGTCGACGCTTTCGTCTCAGGAACTGGCAGATCTTCTTCTACCAAATGCGCTGCAGTCCAGCTAAGCTCTTCTGCACTCTTGCAGTTGGCGTATGAGTCATCTATGGTGCACTGTAAGCATGGTGAAATATCGAGGGCATCTTCATTTGAGAATCTCGGTGCAACTCACCTACAAAGTAACAGTCTTCGGGTCTGTCAATTCCAGCTTCAAGCATTGCCTTGTGGAACATAGCCTTTGCAGGTTTGCAAATGAAGGGTACTTGGCCGTAGTCGCAGTACGTAAGACCTTCGAACTGATCCTCAATTCCTAGTAGCTTCACAACGCGCTTTCCGTGGTTGACGTATGCGTTCGTAAAGAGCCATAGTCTAACCTTGTCCCTGTCGATCTCCTCTAGGAGTTGCCTGAGCTCCGCGTCTGGCTTGAGAATGTTCTCCAGGGGAAGGGCGTCGTCTACTTTAGCATTGAAGTCCATGGGGTCAATCTGGTGATGTCGCACGAGGCCCTCGATAGCCAAGCCGTAAACGGTGTAGTACTCATAGGTCAGTCTCGTGGCCTCTTCAGTTGGCAATGAGAGGTGTGTGATGAAGTATTGGTCGATGAGCTTGGCCATCATTGTGTGAATCTTGTGACCTACGAATGGCTATGTCAGTTTCAATGTGTTCAGGGATGAACTCGCTACTTACTGCGGGAGTAAAGGCAGTTATCGATATCACTAAAAGTTCATCAGTCCAGTACGCGATTTTAGATGAGGTCGTATTCCGGATGAAGGTGCATCTGTCAGCTTACAAGAATAGCACCGGCTTGCTGGATGGCACTCCGTTCGCAGTTGACTCTCCCATAATGGATCTAGTCTCAACGTTCCCTATTAATGTTCCTTAAGGCGTAGTGTACTACAATAGGCAAGTGAGAAGACGTTTGATGTGATGTTCGATTGTCAACGACGGTGAGTCAGCGGGTCAAATTGCGGTGTGTCCAGCTAGAACTCATAGTTTCAGCGCACCTTTATACCTATAAATGATTGGCTCCTCACTGATTGAGTTTAGCGTCAGCGGGAATTGCGCCCTGTGAATCATCGATTGGCCACCAGCGTCACCCCTGCGTTAGACTGGCCCACTCTCAGTCGGGACGGAATATCGGAAAATGCATAGAAGGCGATCATGACCTTGAATCCGATGACAGCAGAATAGGCAATACCCACAGCAAACTTGTCTGTCATTTTGATTTTGATGTAAGCTTGCGGCAGGACAGCAGATTCTGTGGGCAACCCTGGGCTTCTACCTCTGAGTAGTCGACGAGTCACGCCCACTCACTGTAGGCTAGCTTGACAGTCACTGAGATCTGATTCCGCGCTCACTCGCAATGTCCGATGAGAGATTGCTCTAGAACTCATCAAAGAGGAAACATAAATACTTGCTAGTTCCACTTAGAATGCCAACATCATATCGCTCATTTAGAGAATTGCGCAAAATAAACCTATTCCTAGGGCCCACATCTACCAGCCTTCTCGTTGATGGCGCAGCGTCTCTCACCATTTCCAGCTGTGATACGTTAGCCCACTGACTTCGAGAGGGGGATATAGGGTTGAAGGTGCATACATCCTGGACAAAAGAGACGCCTTCCAGTTCCGTCATTCAAACATGCCAGACAGTCTGAGTCTTTCGCACAAAGGCCTTCGGAAGGACGTTAACATCAGATCCCACACGTTTTAAGGAACCAATTACTTACTACCCACACTACCCTGTCCCACTGCGACTGCTCCGAAGAGGAGGAAGGACAGAGAAATTGGGACAATCAAGAACTTCATGGTCGGAAGTGTTGAATGATTTATAATACTAATAGTACAGAAAGAGGCAGAAACACCAGCAACTCCCCACGTATTTATAGGTGCGCATCATGGCTGTAAGCGACGTTTTTCAATACAGCTTGGGAATATGAAATGTAGGGCGTACGGATACGGCTATTTTGGAACCATCGCCAGCGAATAAGGTTTTGTCTGACACGTTGCGTACAACCGAACACAGTGCCCGTACTTGTGACGCTGATAAAACTCACTTCGGCGTCTTTATGGCGACTTAGTAAGGACCTAGGTCTGATATGATCATCGGCTTTATGAACTCGCGATGCTACACTTATTATACTCATGTAAAGTCACAGAACGAACACTTATAAACTGGCTTTTCTTTTGTATAGAAACTATTCAATAGATACAAGTGCATAAACTACTCCAGGCTCGACGCGACAGCTTCAGATCATTGAGCAAAAGAGACCTGATACGGCGCATCATAACGATTGAAGTACCGGCCAACGTCACAATCAGCTCCAGGGGGCAGGATGATCTCCAAGTGATCGTTCTTCGACTCCTCTATCCTGGCCCTAATCCGGACTTTGCCCTGGTTTTTGAAGTTGTATGTGATGTCGTCGTCGCAGTCACCCTCGGGGTCGCACGAGTCTCTCTTGGCTTGCATCTTGACCATGATCGTGTTGCCGTTCCACACGAACGGGGTGGTCGCACCGACGTCGTTGGGGGCATTGAGGTTCTTGTTGTTCGCGAAAGGGCCGTTGTAGAAGCCGTTGCGCTCACACTCGGCGGCGGCGGAGGCCATGCCGAGGACCGCCAAGAAAGAAAGCGAGAGCGAGAGCTGCATTTTGTGGTCGTAAATTTTGAAACGGATTTGACTTGGGAAGACCTATGCGTTACAAGAGCATGTTAATACACATACACCACTGTAGTTGCCACATAGCATCGGCGCTCACTCACAAGAAACGAGGGGACTGAACGTTATTCAATGAAAGACTGAAGGTAGAGACCGATGAGTGAGTATGGGAAAAGGATGCACATAGCTGCCCCATGAGGACACTTTATACTCGAAATTGCTTCTACGGCCTCGCATCATGAACATTCCTCAATTTCGTAAAGGTAAGCTTCATTTCCCAAAGAAGCTTGGTTCGTCCCGTTCTCTGAAGCTTATTAGACCGTTTCAGACCCAATACAGGGCTGAGATCGTCTCATCATGTGAGGTTCACGCGCAAAGCCTCTCCGGATGATGCATACTTTGGCGCCAGATTTCGCATAGATTGGAATCGACTCGTCAGATCAGGCGGAGAATTACTCTGGAATGTGCCGAGCTGATTAGTATTGCAATCCAGCCGGCTGGGACTCAATCAGAGTTCAGGAAAGATGCCGACTGTGGACAAAAGCAGAAAGGTTGTGCCGAGAATCATGACTCAAGTCAGCTGCGAAATCATTGGGAGAAGTTGCCGTTCGCCTGCTCTGTAAACCGTGCCGTGTCGGGTCGAAATTGCCATGGGCAGACGTCTTAGACCATGGGCGGTACGCAGCTCTGGCACCTGTCAATACGAAGCCCCGTTTCAGATATTGGGCGCAGGCTTTTGATTCTACTTCCGCGAGCCCCGATGGGGCTTTGCCTCGGATAATTCGCCGATCAACTTTGAATGAACTTCGATACATGAGTGCTTGGACAAGCCCTCCCGAGCTTGGTGCATGGGGAGAGAACGCAGATGCAAGCACGGTGCTCACTCACACCTGACAGTTCAAAAAGGTGAGTCATCCAGAAGACATTCTAATAATAAATTGCTACGGATCTTCAGAAAGCAATGTGAAAGCAGAATTTGCCTCACATATAACTCTGGAAGAAGGGTATTTTGCATGTCAAATACAAAAGGAATGAAGCTGTCGAGTTTTACGATCCTCCCCTTTAATGCTGAGTGAGAGCTTTTCACTGGATCGCCGGCGCCATCGTAAGAACGACGTAATGCACGGCAGACTTGTCATCCTTCAGCGGTGTCCAGTGAGTCACAAACTTTTCATCTCCCCGGAAGAGAGCACTGCGCCGAGTCTGCAGCCGGATCTCCATCGAGATTGGTGACCCAGAGCGGATAGCGCTGCGAACTCGGGCCTTGTAGTCGGATTGGTGGTTTACCATGTTTTGCTTGAAGAAGCGGAAGATTTCCTGGCCGGTGACCAGGCCGATGTTGTTGTTTGCGGGGTGAAGCATCTCCATCACGCCCTCAGAGTAGAACCTGATGATGAAGGAATCGTAGCTCAAGACCAAATACTAGTCCATGAATGTCAGTCGACTGTTCAACATTTGGATTCAAGTTATCATACCTTTGAGTACGCAGTGTAGAACTCCTTCATCTGCGCATTCAGGCTTTGGCCCTCCATGCGGTGCAGCAGCTTGTTTTCCATCCCTGCTTCGGTGGTGACTGTGGTCGGCGCGTTATTGCTTTCCACGCGTACTCCCAGGGCTTTGAGGAATGCTTTCCGCGCGGAAGGCATTGAGCTGGATCGGTGCATGGGCGGTGCGTTAAGTTTAGTCTCGTCTTGAGTATCGTCATTGGTTGAGGTTGATAGGACTCTCATGACATCCACGTTGCTGTGGATGGTAGTGGAGCAGTTGATCTGGCCACCGATGAAGAAAGCTAGCTTGCCTGCTTCGTTGTATAAGGGAGCTGGAGATTGAGAATCAGCTTCTGGTAAGACTCTCTAAGCATTCGAGGGATTTCTCTAGGAGAACGCTTGGCAGACCTAGCCAAAAACTTACCGACATAGAGCAAGTTCCAGAAAGGATCGCCATTCTTCTTGTAGTTCAAAATGAGTTCAACTGACTCCTTCCGCTCCTCGATAGCATTCTTCAGTCGACGAATTGGCACTCGGTCTGTGTGTGCTCCTTGGAGGAATCTGCAGTTTCGTGGGATGATTTCGGGACGCGTGTATCCGGTGACCTTGACAAAGCCGTCCGAGGCAAATACGATCGGATTGTCTGCAACTCTGTTTACGTGCAACGTCAGCTTCGCAGACGTGAGTGCTACTGGAGAGTAAACTTACGATGGATTTGTTAAACAGAAGCAGTCACCGAGCCCCTGATATGTGTGTCGATTTGTAGCCAAGGCCCTTGTCGCGTTGTGTGCCATTTGATAGCGCACGAAACGGGGATAAATGTCCAAGAAGACATCTTGCTCAACACTCTCCTGAAGATCGGAGAACAGAGATTCCATCGACGGGAGTGTCTTGGTCATGAGCGCCTTCATCTCAACGTGGACCTGCTTCCTCATTTCGCCATTGACGTTGATTTGCTTCGACGAGCTCTCGGAGAGGAAGTCCTTGTGAATTGATGTCATGATGCCCGCGAGATCATTCAGGGTCGTATGGTACTGCTCGACCTGCAGATTCAATGACGTCAGTGATTGCGTCCAAGCCCCGGCTCGAGACACGAAAGTTGCTTACCTTTTTGAGGAATTCGACACTTTCGCTGCAAAATCTTGCTTCGGCGAATTTCAGCAGTTGGTGCGAAGTTGTCGGATTGTGTAAAACAACCTGGAAAATTCCAGGCCCAAAGAAATCGACGGTGCGGTTCGATCCGGAGCCATTGCTGGTGATGCTGTGCTTGGACGTGGATTGTCGTGAAATGGAGATAGAATCGTCGCTCATTGCCCGTCTATCTCCCGTTTCTGGTCTGTAATCCGGGGTCAGCCTCGCCGCCAGCCCGTTCTTCACGCTGTAGTCCTGATCCTGATCGTCGTCCATGTTGTACACTTTATATGGCGTGCGGCGTGAGCGTGGGGGATCGGGACGTCTCTGGCTGATTGGGGGCGGCTCCGCATCCTGGTACAACCGATGCTGATCGAGAACAGGTGTCCGCAGCTCCCGTTTGTGCGCCGCGAGTGATGCGCTCGCGCGCGAAATGGGTGGTGGCTGGGAAGATTGACGAGACGACTGCCTCGAGGTTACGGGTCTGCTGCCGCGACTGTGCCGGTGGTGTGATGCCGGTGGTCTGGAGGAATCTTGAGACTTGTCTGCTATCGGCAAGTGAATGGCAGTAACTGGAGTTGCCACTACAGCATCGCGCACCTCGTCCCGAATTTCGTCGTGATAGTTGCGGTCGCTGAAGTCTTCTTCATCCTCCTCGTCGGATTCGTCGTAGATGATTCTCCTGTGAGGTCGGCCGATGGGGGGAGGCGTTGCTGAGCGGGCTGCTCGCGGTGAGGAGTGAGCCGCCCCTCGGGGAGATTTGGATGAGTAATAGTCGCCCTCTCCAGCCTGCGCCAAAATTCTTCTTGCGGCCTCGATGTCTTCGGCGCGAGGGGGCCGTTGAGGAATGTTATAATCTCGACGAGATGTGATCCGACCGCTGTTGTCAATGCTGCCTCGATCGGGGCGAGACGAGCCTCGAGCAGGAACGGCGACAATGTCCCGATCGGGCCTTGAATGGGAGAAATCGGGGGGCATCAAGTCGCCGCGAGACAAAGGACGGGCGGGAGGGTTAAAGTCCATGCTGTCTCGCCCCGGGCGGGAAGCTTCCCTGTCCTCTACTGTTATGGCCGTATCCCTTTCGGAGTGGCTTCCGACAGCTCCCACCATGATGCTAGACTCGGACAGCGAGCGGCCTCGCTGTGGTCGACGGACCTCGTCCTCACTCTCATCTTCGGATTCGTTACCAAACGCAAGCCGCGCTGCGTGAATGGCCCCGTTGTCTACCCGTGGTAAGACCTTCGCGAACAGCTCGTCATCGACGGTCCCCGTAGGAATAGACTTCGCCGCGTTGCCGTTCCCGGCGACGAGAAGGTGGGCAGCGTGGTCATCTACATCATACCCGGGCGCCATGGCTGAGATGAAAAAAAGAAAGCCTTTCGCGCCGGGCCTAACAAAGCAATTCCGCGTATAAACCAATTGCAAAAAGAGTGCTCGAGGGCTCAGCTCGCCAATGAGCGAAACCTAGCTTGAGTGAGTTTGGCGCGCGATTGTCTCACCCCGCGGCAATGTGAGTGGTGGCAGTATTTTTT